TATATGTAAGGTAAGGAAACATAAGGACTTCCATACTCTTGTCAGAAGATCATTTTTCATGGATTTCCTGTCTTCAATTCAAAGTGAATGACTCCCTTCTGTTTGCAAGTGCATAATTTCCTGGCAACAGTTACATTAACAGAAAAGTAGATTTTATTAGAAGACTGATGTTTCTTCTGGTCCCTTCGAATTTAATTTAATAGGTAGAGGAAAGGATTAGAGATGACATCTTAAGAACTGCTCAAGAGGTCATCTCTTCACTGATGGCTCATACAGGTTGTCTGATATGGAGGTTTTATTCTAAGCAGTGGCAATAAAGAAATGCTGCATTTTAGATCTCTTTATTATGCAGGGTTTTTTTCAGATTTTCTAGCAATATGATCTCATTTAAATGCCATTTCCTTTATTACAGTAGCATAGCAGCATCTCTAAATGTCCTTTTCTTGTTTCTCTCTGCAGAATGGTCTGCCTTCAGAACAAAACCGTTATGTCTTTAATGGCGATTTTGTTGACAGAGGGAAAAATTCTATGGAAATACTTATAATCCTATTTGCATTTCTTCTTATCTACCCCAATGATTTACACTTGAATAGAGGAAACCATGAAGACTACATCATGAACCTGAGGTAGATTTTAGGGCCAGGGTGGGTAGTATCTGGCCTCTCACTAGAAATGTTGGAGCCTTTGAATGCTACTTTAGCCACTGTGGCACTCTAAAATAGAAATAATGTTTCACTAGGTGTTCAGGTGTAGCTTTGTGTCTTCAGGATGTGTGAGGGGTAGAAGAAACATCCCCATTCCACACAGATATTTGAATGGGAGTCTTATCTTGTCTCTGACCTAATCACAATCCATTGAAGTTGAGGGGCTTAGTGCAGATTCCACAGTATCAAAACGGGGAGAAGGACAGATGGGAGGATGTTATTTTAGTTTAAGCATATATTGAGTTAAAGCTGGTATTTCTGTTAACTTCAGACTCAAGTTCTCAAACATATGGGGCAGGTAAATATCCTCATTTCTACTGAGTGAAGGTTCTTTAGTTGGGAGGTGTTAGTCTGCCCCATTACAGAAACAGCTGTGACCACCCTGGTTCCTAATACAGACATTTGTACTCAGCTGTACAGCACTGCCAAGGGATTGAGCACAGCCAGTGGGTCTGGCTGTAGTGAAAGTGTGACTTGTAGACAAAATCATCTCACAGATGTGAGAACACCTCAGTCCTAGTTCCTACAATTCTAAGCCACTCCAGTAAGTCTTGAGTGCCTGACTGGTGAGTAACATGTTGTACTCCTATCATTTGATTGCCTGCACACAGAATATATTGCTGTTTTAACACAGGCACAGACCTGGGTTAGAGGCCCGTGTTAGTCCTATTAATGATCCATGTAAGAGAATCAGTTTCTCATGATACTTACATTTTCAGCATTTATTAAAAAACCTCTCAAAAAAACAAACAACAAACTTGAACCACGATCAGTTACTTAATCTATAAGGTGGGAAAATTCCCACCCAAAATAGTATAAAATATTAACTAAGCCTATGGTGGTATGGAGTGCACAGATGCATTCCTGTGTATGGTTCTTTGCTGGCATTTTGATTAGCAGTGGTGCACATAGGTAAATTTGAAAGCTGAGTGTTGTGAAAAATGCCCCTTGATCAAGGATATCTTGCTGTTAAAAGAATGAGGTATCAAAATCCTTGTCCCTTGTGGGGGAAAAGACATGATAGATGACATTGCCTAAGAGAGTTACATGTTTTGGGCCAGGTTGGATGAGCAGCCTGGTTTAGTGAAAGATGTCCCTGCTGTTGGTGGAAGGATTGGAAACAGATTATATCTAATGTCCCTTCCAACCCAAACTATTCTCTGATTCTATGATGATATGATATTTAGGACAAAAACTCTGTGGAGGTTTTGTGGGAATTCTTCCCCCTCATCAGTTAGGTTCCCCTGAAATTTCTCTCTTGTATCTAAAATGTAAAGTTGGCTAAAAGGCCACTTAACAGTTATTGGGCTGGATTCTGTTCCTGACCTCTGCTATGTACAAGAAATTAGTTTAAGACAGTTCTTGAGACAGAGTGGAGGAAAGCACATTTCAGGTGAGGTGAGATGGAATGGAAGGAGCAAAAGGGGGCTAGAAAACTCCTGGCAAACACTATAGTGCAGGAAACCATGCAGAAGGGGCTTACTGAAAATCAGTTCATGATGCTGTCCTGTTTTCAGGTATGGCTTCACAAAAGAAGTTTCAAAGAAGTACAAGGTAAGATTCCTCCTCCTCCCCCTGTATTTTCTTTGTAGTCTTGCACATGCAAAATGAAACCTGTGTACACAAGGAAACTTCCAACCAATTTATTTAGGTGCATTACTTTGGTGATATAGTTGAAATTGTTTTGGCTTATCAGTGGAATAACTGACCGAACAGTTTTAAGTGGTAGCCTTTTATGCTCAGAGATCTATGAGATGAAGTAAATAACATCTGTAAGGCCACTCAACAACACAAAGAGACGTGAATGTAAAAGGAAAACTAAATGTTACAATCAAATGGTCCTAAGTAAATGTCAGAACATGTTAGTGTTGCAGTTCAGGATGTCACCTGGACCAAACTGTTCATACAGACTGTAGCAGATGCTTCAGCAAAATTTTGAACTTAGAAGCAACAGAATCTTCCAGAAATAGGATCTAATATGAGTACATTTTACAGGACCATTGGAAACAGATTTTGTGCCTTCTGCGAGATGTCTTTAGCTGGCTTCCCCTTGCCACTATAATTGATAGCAAAGTTCTTATCCTGCATGGAGGGATTTCAGACACCACAGACTTGGATTTCCTGAATGCTCTTGAGAGAAATAAGGTAAGAGATCATATTATTTTTTTTCTTTAAAAATGTTTGCAGTACAAATGCTAGGATCAAGTTGTTTGTGTTAGGAAAGGAAATGGCTGCTGTATAAGGCATGTAAGGAAAAAAAAAAGAGTCCTATTTTTCTTCAAAATCAATGTTTAGGAAAGAAAGTTTCAGTAGGTGTTGGGAACCAATTGTTTGGCTGCCAAAAAATAACATGGGTCTTTTGACTTTAAAATAGCTACAAACACTTTAGACACCTCTGTCCTGCTGTGGTGACACATTAGCCAGAAAGTATGAAAGAAAAATGCCTGATTCTCAGGCATTTCTAAACACTTTATAAATCATCTAGCCACATATTTCTAGCACTGCCTTTTGTCCCAGAGCTGTGCTTCTGCCATCTGTTATGTGGAGGAAATTCTCCACCTGTGAGGTGCTCCCTTGGTAGCAGCTGAGTATTGTACATGTGGGAGAGCCTTTCTAGAGGAATCCAACTTCAAGACCTGGCCTTGAGAAAACAGAAACTACTGATCTTCAGGGATTTAGAAGACAGAAATGTTCATGTTCTTTTCTGAAATTACGAGTAAAGACAGTTCTTTCAAATCAGTTGAAAATGGTGTGGAATTTGGTCTTGATTTGGGCAACTAAATCAAGATGTCTGCTTGTGATCAGAGTGCTGAGGCTCCTTATAATCAATGGAGATCCAGGTCTCGTCCTTGCTTAGGCATAGGTCTCCAGTGCTGTTCATGGACACATCCCATAGGCTAGGGATGTCCCCCTTGGCTTTTGCCTGCATCTGAAGAGAGTCTTCTTTGTAGGTCTCCACCAGTGCCCTTTAGGTCAGATTTGTATCTGCCCACCTCACACTAATTCACAGACATGGTAGAGCATCTCAGATGGCATAGGAGACCTATGTTTAAGCAACTTAGTGTACTCTGTCATTAATGTCTGTGGAATATAGATCTATTTCTGTCATCCTCATGTTTTCTAATGCAGAAACAAAAGCTTTACAGGACAGTCAGATGTGTCTCTCTTTTTCAAAGATGTGGAAAAGGGCAATGAATACTTCTGATCATTAGAGTCTGGGCTCAATTGGTTGTACCACTGTACACTAAAACTAGGTGTCTAACTACAGATGTAGGTGTCTGGACTGTGATCTGAGTTGTGCCCACGCTGTCACCAAGGCTGGGCTCCACGTGTTTCTCATGCAGTATCTGTGAAATGCAGGATTAACAGGTCAAAGCTGCTGCCGTAGGAGAGCGTTGCTAATGAGACATGTGTGGGCCACAACCCAGGGCAGGATTACTCAAGGCCAAGTGATGTATTTTAATTCATGCAGCTGGCAGCTGACAGGTCTCAAATGCCAGTCAGTGCACTGGGGAATAACCCAGTGTTTGGCATTTTTTCTCCAATCAGTCCTTTTCTTTCATAAAGAATAAAATTTGGAGGGGGGGCGGGAGAGGCTGTGGAGGCTGTGGAGTGTGTGTGGTTTGTTGTTGCTTTGTTTTGTTGTGTTCTGTAAATAAGCTAGTATGAGAACACTTCAAATGAGGAGACACTCCCTGGAGAAGTCTGTGTTAATGGTCATTCATGGAGCCACAGCACACTACTCCTAGACAGCAAAAGCCCATGCATGTTGGAGGAGGCTGATTTAACAATAAAAGATCTGATGTCATACTTCATTGATTTCACTGTTATCTTCCTGACATTCCATTTATTTTAGCCAAATTGACCTAACAGCATGCTACTGTGTCAGAACAGTAGTGAATGCAGTTTCAGCTTCAGTACAGTATGCATGGCTATGTTCAGTTACCAGTGAATTTGGGCACTAAGATGTCATGCCTGAGCCCAGGCCCAAACTTGCAGTATAATGAGACCTTAAGATTGATTGTGATTGGAATGAGTCTGATGTCTGCATGAGAGTATGAGAGCAGCTCTGACGAGGCTGGTCACTGATTAGGTATAAGGCAAAATTTCTGCAAGTGCCAAACCCCTGCAGCTTCCTCCAAACCTGTGAGTTCAGGACATTATAAGAGTTCAACATTCAGTTGAACTCTCATGAGTTTTCCTGAGTATGGGAAACAGGAACTGATGTGCCTTTCAGCCAGCATCTCTGTATCAATTTTATGTTCTGGTAACTCAATTTTTACTTTTTTTTTTTTTAAAGCTGAAATCTTTGATGCGGCCACCAAAGTCAGTGGCAGACAGACAGGACCAAACGAAGGAGAAAATTTCCACAAGCAAACCCAGTAAACACATTGCCAAACAGCATGTTGCAGGGAAGACACAACACATCTCTACATCAGGCTCCACTGAACCTTCAGGCTCAAATTTGCCTCCAGACCCCACCCCGAAGGAATGGAAACAAGTAGGTGAAAGTGATACCAAACCCCTCTCGCACAAACCCAGCAGGTGTTCTGTTCAGGCAGTGTGTCTGGGTCTGAGGGAACTAACTGTCTCTTAATAAGAAACCAGTCATTCTAAGGAGTACACTAGACAGCTGTGAGTTTTTTGCATGTTTTTTGAGGACCTGGTAATAAAGCTTGTGATTTTAAACCTTAAAAGTACAATTTACCCAGTGTTTTTGTAACTGTTAGGAGGAGGAACTGCTCAGTATGAAATGTGTTTCCATGCCCTCATGTGGCTGGATCTGTTGGTGCATACGTGGTTGTCAGTTTAAACAGGTCAGACTTTGCAATTGCTGGTGAGAGCAAGCACCCTTTTTTGGCTGTGTTTTTGGCAGCTGAATGCTGACACAGTTATAAAAAACACCCAACTCCTGAGACCTACAGGCTGATTACTCAAGAGTGGGAAGTTCTTATCCTCTGGCTGTTCATTTCCTCTTGAATATTAGAGCCAATATGGAGCTTTTGTGATACTGTTAATTAATAAATTGTGGCAATTTGGAAAACTTAATTTGCACAGCAAATCTGTCTCAGAAAATGTGATCTATCTGACCTACAAACTAACATAATGGGCACAAGCAACCTCCCACCCCCCCAAAATCTTACACTCCCTCAGCTAATCAAGTATCCACTGAGACATGCTCACAAGCATGAAGTGGAATGTGTTAGCACAAACCTTGCCCAATGAGGTTTAAACAAACACATTTTGACTAATATTTGCTACTGACTAGAATTAAACCACTATAATTCATCTTCATGGCCAGACCCTGTTAAAATGCTAATATGTACAATCCTGTTTTGAAACACAGAATCAATTAGGTTGGAAAAGACCTCAGAGATCATTGAGTCCAACCTATGAACATGAGATAACTGAAGACAATAAAGCCAGAGGCAACTCTTGTCATGTTTAGAGCAGGTACTCCCAAGCTTAGTTTAGATAAAACCACTAACCCATGCAGTTATCAAGTCTGTGCTGGGAAATAGGAAATGCCTCTCCTACCTACATGAGAAGAAGGCAGCTTTTGCTCTCTTTGAAATAGCTGAGGTACTGTTCCTGACGCACCTGCCCAAGCCTGGAAACCTCAGCTGTGAAAGGAGGTACATTGCTGATATGCTATTTCATCTGAAAAAAAAGTTCATGAAAATCTATATTATGTTTTTTAGGAAAAGCAGAACAGAAGTTTCAACCCCCAAAAATGTCCTTCTGAAGGGAAGGAAGAAAACACAAGACCTACATGTTAGCTTAGGTGTGGTTTCTCCCTGTATTGTGGGAGTTTTGCCATGGCCAGTACTTTAGACAGTCATAGCCTCAGTCTTCACCTACTATCAGTCCTCACTTGCTTGAGTCTGCTATTTATAGATCCTTGACATTCTCTGGAGTGATCCAAGAAGCCAAAATGGCTGTACACCAAACAAGTGTCGAGGAGGAGGCTGTTACTTTGGTCCTGATGTCACTGCCAAGCTGTTTAAAAGGTATAATCTGAAGATGCTCATCAGGTCTCATGAATTTAAGCCAGAAGGCTATGAGATCAGTCATGATGGGAAGGTAAGATGTTTCCATGTAATGTAGAATTCTCCAGTGAATTTCACAGGCACAGTAGATTTGTCTGCAAAATTAATTAAAAATTAAACTAGAGTGACTTCTGTAAATTGGGGTTGGGGGAACTTTGTGCTAGATAGATGTTATAACAAATTACGGAGTTCTGACTAACATAACTCTTTACAGCATCAGGGAGTGGGGACCAACTTATTACTCACATGAAACAAATGGACAACAAAATCCCTGAGAAGAGTTGTGTGTAAATACAGTGCAAGAGATGCTCTAAGGCTCTAGAAGCCTTTTAACTTGATAATTTCTCTTCTAGCCCTGCTTTCTGACATGCTGAATTGGGAGGCCAGCAAGAATCCTGAAAACCAGGTCTGTCTTAGAAAGAGGTTTCTGTTAAACAGCATGTTATATCTCACTGCCCTCTGAACTGAAGTCTTCCTATGACAGGGCAAAAATACAGGCCCAGAGCTCTTAACTCAAAAGGCAAGAGCAATTTGGTGAATGACATACTTTTATATCTAGACACTTAATTCTGTAACCTGCATTTTTTTCTAAAATCAGTTTCAGAAATCAGTGTCAAGAATTGTTCTAGCCAATCTGGTTTCTTTGTTTCCTGTGGTCAGGTTATCACCATATTTTCTGCCTCTAACTATTACGAAGAGGGGAGCAACAGGGGAGCATACATCAAACTGAATCCTGAACTGATTCCTCGGTTTGTACAGTATCAAGTCAGCAAGTACACACGCAGGCAGAACCTTCGGGAGAGGTAAAGCTGTGTGTTGCATGCAGTGAGTGTGTACTCACTTAGCATCTGAGTACCTGCCACAAATCTAGAGCTTTATTGAACTGAATAGGCATCTATTTTCCTTGATTTTCCTTGGTCGTCTATATTACAATTTAAAAATTACTACAGTAAACAGAACATGTTCTAAGTGCCCTAACCTGGTTTTCTGAGAAACTCCCAAAGGTAATTAGACGTGTATAGCAGTTAGAACAGACAATTGTCAGGGACTCGTAAAGGACCTGTACCTATATGTCTGCTTTAAGACTAGAGTGTTAATCTGAACAAATCCTGTTACGAATTGCGTACAAAAACTTTATCATGACAGCTTTGCCATGCCTAGTACTGTGGTCAGATTTTCTAAAGGAAAGCAGCTTAGAATTACCTGCATAAACTCAATTATTTCATAAACTCAGATCATTCTTGTGGAGCATTTTTTGGTTTGGTTTGGGAGTTTTTTCCTGAGTGTTGTCTTCTCCCCTCCAGTGTTCTAGTATGTTTTGGGTCATCCTACTTAAATGTAATAGACCCTAAATATAGTACATATTAAAGGATGTACGAATTTGAGTGTTGAAAAGCATAAAATGCTAAACGATTTATGTCCTTTAGTAATCTGATTTTTTTTCCTTCTAGGGTGGGTACAATTGAATCATCTGCCTTGAAGTCCTTACGAGAGAAGATTTATGCTCACAGGTCTGAACTCACTAGTGCTTTTGCACAATATGACATCAATGGCACAGGTACCACCCCCTCTCTGTCCAGCTGCTACCATGGGGAAAACAGCTTCCATATGTGTGTGGGTCACAGGGGACAGATGCCATGGAGAGGGGTCCAGCCTGCCTGCCCTGTAAGGCTGGAGGGCAGCAGGGGCTGGTTGACCTTGTTCTTCCTGACCACAGAGCAGGATAGGTGCTGGCAAGTGCTTAGCCCCAGAAAACAGCTTGAGAGGAGGAAGGTTTAAGTAGGAAGAACTTGAAAGACCTGGGTAAATAAAGAAATGGTATTTGCTGTTGGGCAGAGAGTATGGCCAGGCAAATCCAGTTCCAGAAGCTCAGTGGTCACCAGCTTCACTTAGGAGTGTGTTCAGGTGTCAGACAGGGAACTGGGGTTTCAGGTGAGGGGGAACGGGTCTCTCCTGAATCTGGGAGGTATCTGAGAAGAGCTGCCTGCCTATGCCTCTAGCAGACACACACAACCATCAGCTGAAGAAAAGTCAGTGGTAATTTAATAAATGAACCCTTTATATAGGAGCAAGAAGTTGATTTTTACCACAAATACAACTTTTCTTTTTGATGGCTTCTCACTTGCCTGTGCCCCTACAAGGGCACTCAGTAACGTGATGGTACTGGGTTTTTTTGGCCACTGAACAGCTGAACATACTTCTGTCTTGTTGGGTTTTCAGCCACATGTCACTCTTAATTGCAGCTCAGCTGAAATCTGAAGTACTCTTCATGGCATAATCTGTTTTTCTCCAAAGGTGTTAAAACATGCTGGCCATCATAATAGCATGACAAGGTTGTTGAGGTTGGAAGGGACCTGTGGAAACATCTAGTCCAACCCCACTGCTCATTGTTACGAGGGCTTTTATCCCAGGGTTGAGAGAAAATACTCATGTTTTGCAGCCATTCTTAAGAACAGTTGTTAAGGTGTGCTGGTGACTGATGTGTGCTGTGTCATGTACTGCTTGTAACCATGACCTGACCCCTTCTGGCAGGCAGGATTTCTGTCAATGACTGGGCTGCAGCAATGGAGTCTGTCCTACAGCTGGAGCTGCCCTGGAGGATGCTGCGGTCTCAGTTAGCACAGATGAACCCAGATGGAGAAGTTGACTATATGTCATGTTTTTATGATTTGAAAATGGGTCAACCTATAAAAGAGGTAAGGAGGAAAAGACCTCCTTGCAAATCTGGGAGGAACAGCTTTTGCTGCAGCTTGAAGCACAAGACAGTGGTTTGGCCAATCAGGTAGACATCTACATCTGAACTAGTTGCCGAGCTTCCTTTTATAGTCACTGGAGGAAAATGAGCACTGCTAGGGTACAAATCATCATTCCCTGCTAAGGTAGATGCTTAAAATAGGTTGGATGAATCACATGCTAGAACTGCTTCTTACTTTCCGTTGACTCTCAGGGGTGTTTAGATAACATAGCTGAGGAGATGCAACGAATCCTGCCCAGAGCACTCAACCCCCACTCTTTGAAATGGGTTTTTTAAACATGCTCCAGAGCCAATTCAGGATCCTATGGGAGGGACTTTTAGATGAGCTGAGGTGTCTTTTACAGAGCCCAGTTGTTACCAAGGGGCTGCACAGTGCTTTGGTACTTAGCTATCACCATTTTTCTAAACTGCAGGAGCTATTTACATACATACAGTGAAAGCTTTGTGTGAGTGCATGGCCTGCACCATCTTCCCTAGATTATCTATTTCCAATAGATATAATTGTTGAAGGTAGGAGGTGCGAAGGGCTCCTTACTCCCTTGCCCTGCTTTATCTACTTAGGGCAAGACACAATGTGTAACTCCAGGGAACTCAAGCATAAGGATTTTTATTTTTTTTTAAAATATATTTGACAAGTTAAACTGGGAAAATGGAATGGGATAGTACATATTCTGTTGGTTAAACTAACTCAAACCAAACTCTGAATGGCTTCCTGTATGTGATTTCAAAACCAGGCTCAGCCAGCTTTGGCAGAAACACTGTGCAGATACAGAAAGGATCTAGAGATCATCTTTAACATCATTGACAAGGATCACTCAGGTAAGTCTAGGTAACTTCACTGTACCAGCTCTAGGAAGCCTGTATTAGTTATCTTTTCCCCACTGTGTTCCTCCTTAAGGCTTCTAAATATAGAAGAACCAGAGGTGATGTAATTTTTCCAGTTTAGTGAAGACTAAGTTAAGCAGTCAGGCTGCAACCATATAAGGGACAGTGCACAGAGCCTAACTTGGGGTATGTGAGAATTTTTTCTCATCTCCAGTACTGGCTTCACTCTTTTGGGGGCTTTTTCTCCCTTCCTCTCACTCTCAGCATTTACTGCTTTTTCAATTCTGCTATCAAAAGCATTCAACCATTACTTAAACTAAAAATGTACTTCAGTCCTGAAATCACAAAACACACCAAAGCCATGACAGGCAGGTAACTTTCTTGCAGTGAAAG